ATGGCTCTCCACAATTTCCTCTCCTTTGTAGCTCTTACTAAAGTTTTACGTTTTGCTATCTCTCTTAATCGTTGTTCTGCCATCAAGTTACACAAACTCATTAGGTAGGCCATGCGCTATTTTCCTCTGTCCCTCTTGCTTTCAATATGCCCTGTGAGTGGCAAATTTTCTAAGCCTCCTTTCCTCATTCCCTAGAAACTTCAACATTTTTTTTACTGATTCTAAGTGTTAGTGTTCTCTTTGTTTCCATTTTCTCTAATGCTCTGTCGTTGCTCACATGTTTGGTCAATGGTATTCTCAACATCCTTCTGTAGAACCACATTTATGTTGCTTCACGCCTCTACTTCATCCGTGATGAAATTGTATGGCATTCACTGACATTTAGGAGGAACGATATTACATAATAGTTAAGTGCTTTTTTCTTCGTTTCTACGGAAATGACACCCCGGAGTTGGGTAATGGTTCATGAGCTAGTCTAGTTGATCAATACTAGTTGGGTGCTTCTTATCTGTAGCCTTGTGACAAACTAAGGTAAATTCAATAAATAACATGGGAGTCTCCGCGTGAGAGTTATGGTTAATGAGCTACTTTGACCATTGCTAGTGAATATTGAGCTTGATCCTCACTGAATGCTACATACTGGTGACCCTGTGTCAAACTAAGCTAAGCTTAGTAAACCACCTTCACGTCTCAGAATAGGGTAATGATTAAAGAGCTAGGTTGTTTGACTATCACTATTGTTTAGTGTGTTCGACAATCACTGGGTAACCAATACTTGTGGCCTTGAGCCAAAATAAGTTAATAGACAATTAATAGATAATTGCGGAGCTTCTGTCTGATGGTAATGGTTAATGAGCAACTTTGACTTCAATTAAGTAGTGAACTCGATACTCAATGGGTGGCCCGATATACTCGACATACGACTTCATCAATTCCGATGTGAAAATTTGGTTTTCTTATTCTAAAGAAGGTTCCTCGGATAAAATGCAGTATTTACAATTATGACTAGATATGATTTGATCAACTTTAGAAGTATTTGTCAGCGGGGATGACATCGTACAACTATCTTTTACGGACATAGGCAGACTATGAAAGAGTGATGCTGGAGCTGTGAAATCTTGCATGCATTAATGTCAGCTCTTCTTATTAATAACTGTATTGTGTCTTTCCAAGTACGAGGGTGGGCTGAAAAGTTCATAGGCTAACTATGAAGGAGTGATGCTAGAGCCGTGAAGTCTTGTGTAGATTAATTTCAACTATTCTTATTAATCATTGCATTGTTTCTTTCCAAGAAAGTGGGTGTGATGAAACGTTCATAACCATACTATGCAGGAGTGATGCTAGAGTTCTGAAATCTTGCATGAATTAATTTCAATTATTCTTATTAAAAACTGCATTGTTCTTTCAAGATACGATAATGGGTTGAAATCTTCATAGACTGGCTATGAAGGAGTGATACTAGAACTGTGATATCTTGCATGTATTTATTTAAATTCTTCTTATGAATAACTGCATCGCTTCTTTCCAGGCAAGAGGGAGGGCTGAAATTTTCATAGGCTGACTATAAAGAAGTGATGCTAGAGATGTGAAATCTTGCATGCATTCATTTCAACTCTTCTTATTAATAATTGCATTGTTTCTTTCCAGTGGGGAGGGTGGGCTGAAAAGTTCATAGGCAGACTATAAAGAACTGATGATAGAGGTATGAAATCTTGCATGCATTCATTTCAACTCTTATTATTAATAATTGCATTGTTTCTTTCCAGGAAGGAGGGTGGGCTGAAAAGTTCATAGGCAGACTATAAAGAACTGATGATAGAGGTATGAAATCTTGCATGCATTCATTTCAACTCTTATTATTAATAATTGCATTGTTTCTTTCCAGGTAAGAGGGTGGGCTGAAATGTTCATAGGCTGACTATAAAGAACTGATGATAGAGGTATGAAATCTTGCATGCATTCATTTCAACTCTTATTATTAATAATTGCATTGTTTCTTTCCAGGTAAGAGGGTGGGCTGAAATGTTCATAGGCTGACTATAAAGAACTGATGATAGAGGTATGAAATCTTGCATGCATTCATTTCAACTCTTATTATTAATAATTGCATTGTTTCTTTCCAGGTAAGAGGGTGGGCTGAAATGTTCATAGGCTGACTATAAAGAACTGATGATAGAGGTATGAAATCTTGCATGCATTCATTTCAACTCTTATTATTAATAACTGCGTGTTTCTTTCCAGGTACGAGGGTGGGCTGAAAAGTTCATAGGCTGACTATAAAGAAGTGATGCTACAGATGTGAAATCTTGCATGCATTCATTTCAAATCTTCTTATAATAATAGCTTCTTTGTCATGGATCGAAAGAGTCATGGTCGCCCAAGCGTGTATCTCATATGTCGCTTAACTGATTGAATGTTTGACCAACTGATTTCAGATCCAAAAAGATTTATTTCAGCAAAATTCGTAAAAAAGATAATTTACAGATTAATATCTTAACATATATATTTATAAAAAGGAGGGATCTGTTTAAAATCTTCAAATGTAAAAATAAATGATTAGAAATATATAAATAAATAAATAAATAAAAGAAGAGAATGGAAATGCATAATGTTGGGTACGTTTTTCCTATAGATTCATTAAAATATGAAATAAAAATACAACTCATATCATATATTCGGAAATGTTTTACTTTAATTTAATGTTTTAATTAGTACGGAAAATGCGACACTGAACTGCCATTGGAGTCTCTAAGATCAAAATTCAAAGAGGAAATTAGACAGCTCACTCTGAACTAAATTTCTATAGAACCTTCTAAGATGGACGCTTAAAAGGAGATAAAAAAGAGAGCTCAATGAACGAAACTTCTATAGACCCTTCTAAGATCGACGCTTCAAAGAGGATCGAAAAGACAGCTCAATGAACTGAACTTCTATAGAAACTTTTAAGATCGACGCTTCAGAGAAGATCGGAAAGACACCTGAATGAAGTAAACTTTTATAGAACCTTCTAAGATCGACGCTTGGAAGGGGATAAAAAAGAGAGCTCAATGAAGTAAACTTCTATAGAACCCTTCTAAGATCGAGGTTCAGAGAGTATCGACAGCTCAATGAAATAAACCTTTATAGATCCTTGTAAGACCGACGCTTGGAAGGGGATAAAAAAGAGAGCTCAATGAAGTAACTTTCTATAGAAACCTCCTAATATCGACGCTTCAGAGAGGATCCAAAAGATAGCTCAATGAACTAAACGTTTATAGAACCTTGTAAGATCGACGCTGGGAAGTGGAAAAAAAGACAGCTCAATGAACTTACCTTCTATAGAACCTACTAAGATCGACGCTTTGAAGGCGATAAAAAAGACAGATCAATGAACTGAACATCTATAAATCCTTCTAAGATCGTCGCTTCAGAGAGGATCGAAAAGACAACTCAATGAACTCAAGTTTTACAGAACCTTCTAAGATCGACGCTTGGAAGGGGATAAAAAAGAGAGCTCAATGAAGTAAACTTCTATAGAACCCTTGTATGATTGACGCTTCAGAGAGGATCGAAAAGACAGCTCAATGAACTGAACTTCCAACGAACCTTCTAAGATCGACGCTTCAGAGAGAATCGAAATACAGCTGAATGAAGTAATCTTTTATACAACCTTCTAAGATCGACGCTTGGAAGGGGATAAAAAAGAGAGCTCAATGAAGTAATCTTCTATAGAACCGTTTTAAGATCGTCGCTTCAGAGAGTATCGAAAAGTCAGCTCAATGAAATAAACATTTAAAGAACCTTCTGAGATCGACTCTTGGAGGCTGATAAAAAAGACAGCTCAATGAACTGAACTTCTGTAGTATCTTTGATCGTCGCTTCCGATGGGATCAAAAAGACAGCCCAATGAACTAAAGTTTTTTAGAACCTTCTTAGATCGACGCTTGGAAGGGGATAAAAAAGAGAGCTCAATGAACTAAACTATTATAGAACCCTTCTAATATCGACGCTTCCGAGAGGATCCAAAAGACACCTCAATGAACTAAACTTTTATAGAACCTTCTAAGATCGACGCTTGGAAAGGGGATAAAAAGTCAGCTCAATGAAGTAAACTTCTATATATACTTTTTAAGATCGACGCGTCAGAGAGGATCGAAAAGACAGATCAAAAAACTGAACTTGTATAGAACCTTCTAAGATCGACGCTTCAGAGAGGATCGAAATACACCTGAATGAACTGAACTTATATAGATACTTCTAAGATCGACGCTTGGAAGGGGATAAAAAGAGAGCTCAATGAAGTAAACTTCTAAAGATACATTTTAAGATCGACGCTTCAGAGAGGATCGAAAAGACAGCTCAATGAACTGAACTTTTATAGAACCTTCTAAGATCAACGCGTGTAAGTGGATAAAAAAAGAGCTCAATGAAGTAACCTTATATAGAAGTTTCTTTGATCGACGCTTCAGAGAGGATCGAAAAGACAGCTCAATGAACTATACTTTTATAGAAATTTCTAAGATCGACGCTTGGAAGGGGATAAAAAAGAGAGCTCAATGAAGATACATTTTAAGATCGACGCTTCAGACAGGATCGAAAAGACAGCTCAATGGACTGAACTTCCATAGAACCTTCTAATATCGACGCTTCAGAGAGAATCGAAATACAGCTGAATGAAGTAATCTTTTATACAACCTTCTAAGATCGACGCTTGGTAGGGGATAAAAAAGAGAGCTCAATGAAGTAAGCTTCGAGAGAACCCTTCTAAGATCGACGCTTCAGAGAGGATCGAAAGACAGCTCAATGAACTAAACTTCTATAGAACTTTGTAAGATCGACGCTTGGAAGGGGATAGAAAAGAGAGCTCAATGAATTAAACTTCTAAATAACCCTTCTACGATCGACGCTTCAGACAGGATGGAAAAGACAGCTCAATGAACTAAACTTTCATAGAACCTTGTAAGATCGATGGTTGGAAGTCAGCTCAATGAAGTAAACTTCTGTAGATCCCTTTTACGATCGACGCTTCAGAGAGGATCCAAAAGACAGCTCAATGAATTGAACTTGTATAGACCCTTCTAAGATTGACGCTTCAGAATAGATCGAAAAGACAGCTCAATCATCT